TAACGGCATGGGTTACGCTATTGTAAGTGTTTGCTATGCTGATCACGTAGTAGCTGGCACAATAAATAAAGATAACATTCATCCAATATATTGAATTGTGTATCATTAAGACTTGAGGGTCTAACCATATGCAGGTGTAATCGTAATTGTAATTACAAAGGCAGCACCTTCTCGGTTATTTTAAGACCCTGAATTTTGGTCCGGCCGAGGCTTGAACCACGACCTTCCGCACAACAGACCGACCAACTAACCGGTTCAGTTGACGGCTATTATTCGTACTCTGGCCGGGAAATGTTTAGAAATGTTATTCAACTTGTATTCATTCAAGTCTATATGATAAGACTCACAGTTCGTTGTTGATCGGAAGAATTATCTTGCATTTTCTATATAAAAGAGAATTATTTTTAGTTTGTTCTGATTAAAAAGAAATTTAAACTTACCTTTTTATGCTGATTTAGGATTCTATTTTTCATTTTACTCTTTCTTTGATTCTTTTGATATATAATTATATTTATATTCCGAAAGTAAGACTATATTTGCGAGTGTTAGCATGCTCAGTGCTAGACATCATCCCACATCGGAAAATGAAATTTTAGATCCTGATGAAAATCGCCAAACTCAAGCATTTATTAGTGGATTCGAACTTCGTGTTTGTAAGAAATGCGGAAGTAGGTTTCGTGTAACTTTCGTAATCAGATGACGTAAGAGGATTGAAAAACGTTTAATTATCGATCTGCTAACGTCTTAGTGAGTGAGTGAGTGACACATTTGCATATTCAGACCCCTCACAACTTGTTTCTACGCTTTGTCCACTAGTAAAAAATACACCTGATCTTTAAAGAGTGGGAAGTCTAATGGATGTTTAATTTTTTTGTGGGTTACGACGTTCGACCAAACGAGATCGAGAAAACACTAACGTTGGACCGAACGAGATCGAGAAAAGTACGCCTGACCTCAACGAGTGCGAGGTCTGGAAATTTCACTTTTTCGTGGTTTTTTTTGACGTTACGTTAGACCGACGACGCGAGTGAAAAACGTCTGCGCATGCTATGAATCCGTATGCAAATTCGTCAAAACATAAGTAAATTTGACTTTCAAACATGCCTGATCAATTGGACTTCACAAAATATGCCAAAACTTAGTGCCCGTGCTTGAAACTTAAGGCTAATTCTTTCATATTGTGTTTTAGCATCAAGATGCGAACGTCAAAAGACGACGACGCGAGCGCATTTTTTTCGACCTTACTACTCTCCCACACACGATTTTTGTAACGTGTACACGACCCACCACCAGCCACGCCACAGGGCTAGTTTCGTTCTTGAAAAATCCTTCCACAAAGTTCTCTATGGTCGACAAGAACAAAACTAGTCCTGTGGGGTGGCTGTTGATGGGTCGTGTACGCGTTACAAAAATCCTGTGCGGGAGAGTAGTAAGCCGAATCCTACGCAGGTACGAACCTTGACATAACATGGCAGAAACGTTTCTGCAAGCAAAATATTTTCTGCACGAAAAATTCGGTCATAGAAACATTGGAGGAAGAGCCAAATGGGTTTTAAATAAATGAGTCCCCCATATTAGGGATCATTTTGATCAAGTTTTTTGTGGAGTTCGAGGTTTAAAAGACGATGAAATCAGTGGTGGATCTAGGGGTAGGTTTTGGGGGTTGCAACCCCTCATATGAGAGCCATCGTGATTTATTATTATTATTATTGGGTTTTTTTTCATGACAACACCAACAGCATCGCGAATTTTATTAAAACAGGGGTGCCGAACACATTTCGCTTGCTTTTTTTTTCTATACGCCGTGTGTGGGACCTGAAACAACCATGCTCGCCTGCAGCAAATAATCATTATCATAAGACCTACTTCAGTTTGGGAACCCTGTGCTACTTTCCCGCTAAACAAGTACCTCAATCAATGCTACAACTCCCCCTTTGAAAAAATCCTGGATCCGCCCCTGGAAATCAAATCGTGGTTTAAAGTGAATTGTTTGTTCAAATATGGCGACTGTAGTTTCCTCGATCCCTTGTAAGAATATTTAACAATTATTCGCCCAAGGGAGCACGTTAAAATTTTGATTGTGTTGGTTTATCTTCGATTTTATTGCAGGTAATCTAAGATATGACAGGCGTTGCTTGTAGTGCTTGTTTACGTGCGCGCTACACTTAATGGTAGGCGTTCCTTGGTTTAGTCGGGCTAGCGAATTTACTCCGAAAACCGACAAATATCTGGCGAGGAGCGGAGTCTCGTGTAAAAAGGAGGGGAGTGAAACTGTAAACCACGTGACCCTTTTCAGCCAATCAAACAATACAAAATGAAAATACTTTTCGCACTACGCTGGTAGCAGTATCTATAGAAACGGATTACGTGACAAATCCAAAAAATGACGTGTAACGTCAAAGGAATTACTCAACAGACATGCACGTAAGATCAAAACAAACAAAATAAAAAAGTTTTTAATCTTGTAGAAAAAGGTTTTAGTGTGTTTATTAGTGGAAAAGCTGGAAGCGGAAAATCATTTTTAATTAGATATATTTTAAAGGAGTTGAGAAAGGGAGCAAATACTGCTTTGAGCTTTATTTATACCGAGCGGTTTTTTGTCAAGTAAAATATCTCTTGTTAGTGATATTCATTTGTGTCTTGTAAACTAAATATGCCTCCGTAGTTTTGATAGCTTCCCCATTAGATACGGAAAATAAACTAGTGATTATTCTGTAGAAAAATTCGAAACTCAAATTGAATTCTGCCTTACTGCCGAAACATGTCATTCAAACTAGAAAGTGTTGGAATTGTTATAAAAATAGAATTCATGACTGTAATGATGATTTCAAAACCATTCAAACGGATGACTCAACAGAACATAAACTCATACGCTCATGTTATGTAAATTTATAAATTCAGCTTACTTTAAGTTTCGACAAGGGAGCACCTTAGAATTTTGATTGTGTAATCAATGTGCATAGCAACCGCCTGTTTGCATAGCAATCTGCTACGAGCATGACGTTAAAACTCATCGTAGTGATAAGTTTGGGTTGAGTGCCAGGGTGCGAGGGGATGGGCGCGCTTAACCAACCCGTTCGCAGAGGTGACCATATCAACCAGGCAACAGTCCATCGCCCACCTGGCACCCGTCACACCTTCCACTTGGAGATACTTACCATGTACTATACTTACTTCTGAGACATGGGTGGGATGGGTGGGAGGGGTGATAATGTGAGTTTCTCGACCAATCAGCGCGCGAGATTTTCAATAATCACCTGGTTATTTTTACTAAATACAGTCTTTTGACTAAACGTTGTCGTTGATCGGATCATCCCTACGCGCCTAGACCGCAAAGGATAACGGGTAAATTACCCAGAACTTGCGTCATCCAAACTGCTCGCCAGTTTAAATCTTCGCCGTATGCTGGAGGCATGGTTTTAGCAAATAAAATGGAATCGAAATCGGCGAGCTCAAGACGTGTTAGATAACATGCATGAGGCAGCTAGTAACTGTGAATTAATTATCCCCATGATCCTGTTCGGTCTAGGCGAGTAGGGATGAAGCCGATCAAACGACAACGTTGTATACATAAGATCGACTTTACCATAGGGGAATTATATAGGGAAACAAAAGCGCGCGCGAAAAAAAATGTTCTAGTAAATTTTTAATCGATTTTTTTACCTTTTCGCATTACGGAGGACATTATCTTGATCTCGAATTTTAAAAAAATATTAATTATTTAATTTTTCCGATGTTATTTTTGCCATTCACTTTAATCTAAATTGGGGTGACTGTGGTCCAGGACGCCAACTACGTTGAGAACGGCACGAAAAAATGCGTTTTCTTTGATATCAAGCAGCATCTTCCTTCAAGACATGAATGGGAATGGTGGCGGTGTTGATACTGTCAATAACAGTGTTACTGTGATGCTGAGCATTATGTGTTCTTGCTCTTTGCATTCTCCGCCGATAAAATTTTGAAATTGTGAGCACCGGAAATGCGATTTCGTGTTTATGACCAACCCTTTTTCAGGGACGCAAAAAGTTAGCCTGCGTCACATCCGGAATTTTCTAAAATTCCGGATGTGACGCAGGCTAGCAAAAAGTTGACTCTCCACCCTTTTCCAACCCCCCTCCCCTCCCCCTGCTTATTCTGGCCAGTTCCTAAACGAATATATTTTCCATATTTCATTTCCGTCTTTATCACTCTTATCTAAAGTGGGCTTCCTGTGGAGAAAAATGTCAGCGGCTTCACCCCACTTTAAGAAGTATTTTTTAAGGACACGTAGAATCATGCGGATAGTTATTTATTTTATTGCGATATCATTAATACTTATTACAGAAAAATGTCTTGTACTAGAGACTATAAAGCTACAAGAATATTCTATAGAGGAAATCACTGTTTTGGTGAAGGACTCATGTGTTTTAGTGGCTTCTCAACCCACGAACTTTACTCTGATCTCAATTCTTCAAAACCTCACAGAAATATTTTCCAAAGAACCAAACGTGAAAATTGGACTACTGAGAGAGAACAGCTTCCCTGCGAACGAAAAAGAACAAATGTTAGGAAAAATAACGGCTTACTACGGTAAAAATAGGGGTTTACTGATGTTTTACCCGAAAGAAATTTTAGACCGCAAGTGTTTACTGAAACCTCCAAAGAAGAAGCTCAAATCTGAGGAGTATAACGGAGACAAAACTACCTCAGCAATTCTTGAATTTTTGAACTCAAAATGCGGGAAGTTTAGGACTCTTCAAGGTGGATTACCTCCTGAAAGAAGAATGAGGGATTTTATTCTGCAAAATGTTTATTCAATTGGAGAAAAATCTTTGAACAAAGATAAGAGGAATACTGGGAATGGAGAAGCTGGACCTGTAAACGTCGGATCAATATGTGAGAAGATTACCATGCCAACCCAGGAGGAATTTATACACCAGTATTTGTTTAGATCAAAACCTGTAATTATAAAAGGTAAGAAAAATGTTGTGTTCATCTTAATTTTTACTTTAATTTAGCAAAGGATATTTCATTATTCCTTTTTCCATGGAAATAAGTAAAGACATGCATGCATGCTGGTTAACATAACGAGAGATTAAGAACAAGCTTTTATTAAAGGCTATGCAACTTTGAAAAGAATTAAGTTAGTGTTTGACAATCTGATATTTGTTTTGCAGACATTATTGGGTACTTTTGTACTGGTTCAAGAGTGTGACCTTTGTGCTTTTATTTTCTTGCTTGTGTATTATTGCTAGGAATTATGAGAAATTCCAGGCAGGGGTGGCGGAACCAGGGGACCAGGGAGGCAAATTTTTTGGGGGGGCCTGGCTCCCCCAAAAGATATTGGTTCTTAGTCATTGTTGTACGGCGCATGCGTCTGCAATCAAATAAACATTGTCATTATCACATACATGTAGCGTTAAATATAATCTTCAGTGCCCCCTCCCACCCCCCCAAAAGATTTCTGCGGTGCCCCCTCAAAGAACTTTAGCTTCCGCCGCCCCTGCCAGAGTATGCACTCAAAGATATTGTATTCTACCATGACTAAGAAATACACTCTAAATCCCATCTTTGTTGCCAGTATAGTAAATGGTCTACATAATTTCTACTTATCTTTGCTACATAATAACATGGCAGACAGCACACCATAGGGTCATGTGATCTGAGCTCAGGCCCAGTTTACCACATTATCATGATTACATATATTAATTTATACCATCAAAAAATCATTGTTGGGTTCAAAACACAGAAGACAGAAACTAAGACCAAAAGGTATTCTGGAAGACAGTATAATAGCAGTATGCTAAAGTTAGCTTCAAACAATTGTTTCAAATTGAGGCATTTGGGTCAATACAATAGATGTATAGAAAATGACCCAAAAGCAACAGCTGCTTGAAGGTAATAGAGTGTAACTCTGATATCTGCTATTATACTATCATGATTTATTCATTTGAGATACACACAGTTGATATGAAATATGTGTTAAAATCCTCTATGGAACACTTAAAGCACTCATTGATAATTCATAAGCTTATGGTCCAATTGGAGCCACCATACACGTCATGTGCATGAACCTTTATACCCGATAAAGTCCTCTTCATTAGTATTCAAGCGATTTTATATAAAGACACATGTGATCTTTATATAAAGACCACTCGAATACTATGAGGATGACTTCATCAGGGATGAAGCATGCATCCAAGTTTAGATGAAGACATAGAGCTTCATCAAGGTCATAGTCAACCCTAATGATCTTTGACTAACGTGCCTGTCTTTGCCTTGGCACACAATATTCAACATGTGGAAGCCTCTATTGGATCTGGTTGCGCGTGCCCGTGACGTCAAATCTCTATCGAAGTATAAAAATCCATGTTCGTGACGTGTATGGTGTCTCCAGTTGAACCCAAATCTTATAAATTGTTCATGAGAGTCTTAAGCAGTTCAAAAAACTCGTAGATCGGCTACGCCTCATGCTTTTATACCTGATAAAACACTCCTACTCGTTTTTTAAACACTACATGCATGCTTGCAGTTGAACAGCATCATAAAACCTTTTGAAATTATTTCAAACATTCTGGAAGCAACTTGAAGAGGTCACAACTTGACTACAAATAATTTTCCTTAATCACTTAAACCTTGCTTCCCCCATAATATGCTGAGCTCTAATGGTACAGAATGTTGATAAAGTATGATGTATGTTGATAAAGTATTGAGTAAATACTGACATTCGTAGGTGCGATGGACAAATGGCCAGCAATGCATAAGTGGACCAATGAATATCTGACATCAACATTTGGCAAAAACAAAGTACGTGTAGCATTTGCACCTAATGCAGAGTATGAAGGTTGTGAGAAAGCATCAGACTTTGAGGACTTTCAAGATTTTAAATTTCCTGATGGTGTTAAAGAACAACTTCCCTTTCCTGACTTAGTTGTAGTAAGGCCTGCATTTATGAACTTGAAGTTTGCAGAATTTATGAGTCTACTTGAGAAAACACATCAGACAGGTCAAGGAGAGAATGTATCAGCTTACTTGGAGTATTCTTCTATTCCAAGTCATCTGCCAGAACTGGAAAAAGATGTAATTGAGATGCCATTTGTGGCTGGAGTATTGAAGAGAAGGCACTTGAATATTTGGTTGAGTAATGGCAACACTTTAGGGAAGCTCCATTTTGATCCATTTGACAATTTCCTTTGTCAGGTAATTGCTCTCCTATTGTCTGACAGTCTGTCTGTCTTCCCATTTTCCAGTGGTGGTAACATGATGTTCATCAGACAGAAAACACTGGGCTTGACAAAGTCTAAAGGGAATGCACATAGTACACCATGATGTATATAGAAATAATTTGGGAAGCATAACATCAACAATAACAGCAACAACAACGACAAGTCCCTATTTAAATTCAACAGAGTCAGAATTTGGTAAAAGCTACTCAAAATACCTAATATAGAGGCTTTGCAACATCATATAAATTTTGTCTAATCTGATTTGCAGATGAGAAAGAATTTGGTTTGCCAGAAGAAAAATACTCACTAGTGTATTGTTTCGCACACATGATGGTGCAAAGCCTTTATAAAGAAAACAAGCAGAGTAACAAGTGGTAGCCCCTGACTACTAGTCAACTAGTAATAACTACGTTTATAAACTCTTATCAAAACATGTACATGTATGTTAAAACTACCCATTTGGCAATGCAGTGAAACCAGAAAAAGACATCCTTTTAAAATTTTTGTTACTCATTTTACAGATAAGTGGAAGGAAACAGGTTTTGCTATATGAACCCTATGATAACACTCGGCTTTATGAGGCACACATACAAGAAGCAGAACTGGGTTACAATCCAAACAGCATGCAATTCCGCAGGAAAAAATTAATGGACAGCACATCTATGGTTATGTCACCAATTAATATTCTGAAGCCTGATTATAAAAGGTATTTTTGTTGTCATGGTAAAATTATAGCTCACTTACATGTAAACCTTACATACAAGTCATTATTCCAATAAATGACATTATTTTTTGGAAGTGTTACTTTATTGCACTCATTTCATCAACAGTTTTTTAAAATTATCATTCAATTTAAGGGAAATAATTGATGAATCTGTTTAGCTTGTAATTGTTTTGAAGAAACAAAATATTCAATGATATGTGTCCCAAAAGGGAGAATTCCAGTTAGATCTTGAATTTGAGCATGGGCTATTATGTGAAGTCACATCGGCCATGTCGGTGTACCAAAACTATACATTTTCTATCCTCCAGGAATTGAACTTTATTATTGTGCAGAAAGTTTCTACTTTTTTTGGTACACCAATATGGCTGCCTGTGTCATGTGAGTGAAAATGCTCTATAGTTACTAGGAAGGATGAACTCACCAAAATTTTCATAGCAAACTGAATTTTTCAATTCAAATTTCGCATATGGCTTGATTTATATGTGGTTAAATGTAATTTAGGCTAAGTTAGACTCGAGGTCAATGACATCTCGCAGTAGCGTTGTCCGGACGCATACTGCTATCTCCGCTGTCAACGCATTTATTACCTCACGCGATCGTTGATCGACTCAGCTAGCAAGTTGTTTATAGCATGTCGCAATCTATTCTAGTCGATCTCTGTGGCCTGTATGAGATATGGATCATAGCTATCATTACGAAATTCGATAAGACGCTACACACGTGATCACGCTAGCTTAATGCCAACCACGCGAACCTTTATTCGCCATCGCTATCTATCGCTAGCACTTGCTATACGACGCTATTACGCTATTACGCTACAACACGAGTTTAATTTCCCGCCCGCCATCCCTACCACTGGTACAGGTAAGTAGAGGTAAGTATTCCATTGACTGATCGCGGTCAATGTGACAGGTGTTCGGTGGGTGGTGACAGGGTGACCATGGTTACCGCTAATTTGTGCCTGGCTCCGCCCATCCCACCGAATATGCACCTAACGCCAAGCTCATCATTAACGATGAGTTTAAGTATTTGAAAACTAAAAAACAAAAACCAAAAACCAAAAAAAAAAGAAAGAAAAGAAAAGCAAAGAAAAAAGAACTGAAAGAAGATAAAACTTTTTTTAAAAATTCAATCTTAAGTTTTTTTATCAAATGGAAGATTACCATAAAAAGTTGAAATATACCAGTTTTCCAAATATACCAATTTCACCATTTGTACAGTAAGTACAGTCAAGCTTTACTAAAGGCCAATAAGAGAGAAGTCAAAACAAGTGTACTAGTGTATGACTAGTCTTTCAGGATTGATTAAAGTACAGTACAATAACATTCCTATTAAAAGGGCGGTCAGTCCATGTTTGCTACGAGGTCTTACTGTAAATGAAATGTCCATTAGTGAGGTGTCCATGCTGTTGGTGTCAGCCATAGAACCATAGAATTGGGGTTTACCCTGTGAGCAGAAGTTTTTTCCTTCCCCTCCATAGGGCTGAACAGTGGGCTGAAGGGAGGGCAGAAAAAGACCTCTGCTAGCAGGGTAAGTGGGGTTTGACTATACAGCAAACTTTCTCAATATTCCTACTGTAACTGAACCAAAAGTCATAAATTTAATTATTGGTTCTTGTAGTTACTAATATTTAAAGTTTTTACATGTAAAGCTATGATATTTTGCATTTGAAATTCAGGTTTCCAAAGTTCAAAGGTGTTCAGGCCATGAATTGTACAATAGATGAAGGCGAAGTACTATTCATGCCATCATTTTGGTGGCATGAGGTACAGTCATACCCAAATCAAGAAAAGCCTAGAAATGTAGCTATTAATTATTGGTAAGTTAGTGAATATATTATATATACTATATTAATAAAGATTATCAATCCATAAAGTAACTCAAAATTGAAATACTATAGTATTACATGCATCTTTGAAATAGCCCTATATAGCGTACATTTGAGTTGGCTTATAATAGGAAGACTAAGTTTAACATTTCAAATTTAGTAGACTTGAAGGGGGGGAGGGCTTTTTTGGCAGTTTAATATAGTCTTGATTTCGTAAATATTAATTCTTGTTCATCACGATGTTCTTGGTTTTCAGGTATGAACCATTTCTAACAAAGGAATATCCTTGTGATTCCTGTAAGATTGACATCAATCCATTCTACCACCATCTACTTCATTAAACCCATGAGGTCTACAGTGGATGCCCTGTTTTGGGTTCAAGCCCCATAGCTGGTCACCAAAACTAATGTTAGCTCATCACTTGAAAAAATCTTCAGAAATCTTATTATTAAATGTATTGTTTATTATAATAATGGCTTTTTTGACACTAAGCATTCGTTTTCTAGCGTAATATTTTACTAAAAATTATTATTCAATACCTACAAGTGAAAGATCACTATATTTTAAAAAAATTATGAAAAAACATGTATACTTAAAAAAATATCAAAATAAATTATGAATTAAAATGTTTCTTCGCTGTACAAACATATATAATTACTAAAAATAGTTTTTGATATCACGGAACTGAATCTGAAATTTTAAAAAAATCCAAACAATTATGTACAATATTATCGGTCAAAAATGTCTTTGTTATTTTTGGCGATCGTGAGTAACACCACAGTGTTTGACTTGATGTTCTTTGGTAACAAGAAATAAGAACTGACTATAGCCTTTGCTGCTATTGAAGAGCTAGCCCAGATATGCAGTATTTGTTTATGCCATTTCTCCAGCGTGTTCCGTGTAGAATTCTCTACTCCATTAAGCTTCTTGTTCAATAAATATTCAGCATCTTCCAAAGTAAAGTTGCCCCTGTATTTCATGGCTCGCGTGACAGAAACACCAATCTTGAACCCAAACATACGGCATGTATAATCGGTTATCGATCCTCCATAAGGAAAATATTGAATCTCCATTTCAGTTTTGTCAAGTTTAGCGTTATAACACTTCTGTAGCATTTCGTAGCTTAGGACTTCGCTTTTCTGCGAGCTACCACCAGCATTTGGAGTCCTAGCCATTCTAATCGACCCCTCAGAAAGCTTCATTGATTTGATCGTCCTCAACTGGTCCATCTCTGTTACGACAATCCCTCCAGTATAAATCGAACTAATATTTCTCCGAAATCTCACTACATCACCTAATTTTACCGCAAAATTCTCTCCCACATAAAACTGAGGCTTAAAAATGAAGGGAGAAGTCTTCCTTCGTTTTTGTCGCCTCAACCTAATTTCTGATGTATCATTCTTTTGTGTAAACGTTTGATTTTCAGTTCGTGTAAAAGTTTTGGTCTGTTTGACAGCGATTCCCATTATAGGAATTTTGATTCCGTCTTGTATTTCTTGTAGTAGTGGTTGTCATTGCTGCAGTAATTGTATAAAGTGGCGTAATACAGAGAAACTATTTATTTTATATCAGCGTTGCAAACTTTGCTAAAATTGCGTTGACATTGCATCAGCTATTTACGCAATTTGCTATAAATAGACTGGACGTAATGTTTACATATAATAATCGCTAGGTTTCTTCAGCACTACAACTGACTTCTACATTTCTATCCTGCCAAACATTGCATATTTGCTTCAGTCCAGCTTCAAAAAACTTTTTGATGCATTCTATTTCTTAAATTTTGGTTAAAAATTTGTTATAAGCGAAGTAAACATGCACAACTTGCTAGCGTTACCTCGTTATGCAACGCTGCGAGGGAGACTAAGCGTTACCCCGAGGAGAAAAGAATAGCGCCCCACTGCCGGCCTGACAGGGGTAAGGGCACTGTCCATGTTTTTTTGTTTTTGTTTTTTTTATTATCCAAAGAAAATCAAATGATATGTCGATTAATTCGTTAAATAATTTGACTTTGAATATAAGATAAAATTGAATTATAAAAAGATGTGATGACAAATAGATTTTTCTAAAAACTTCGAGGCTCAAAAACAAATTTTTTAAATAAAGATCATAAGTTACCCTTCCCCTTTTTAAAATTTTTGGTCAATTGGAAGTATCATATTAAATTGATCTCAAATAAGATTTCAAAAAACATTGGTATTCTATCAAAAATCAGGCATTATGTTTCTTAAAAAACTCTAACTACGCTATATTATTCATTAGTTTACCCTTTCTTAACATATGGTTTGAGTATCCTTTTTTCAAATGACCGTATTTAAGGGTATCCTTTTTTCAAATGACCGTATTTAAGAGTCTTTTTTTGTTTTTTCAGATGACCCTATTAAATAGTATCCTTTTTTTTTTTCAAATGACTGTATCTAAGAGTATTCTTTTTCCAAATGACTGTATTTAAGAGTATTCTTTTTTCGAATTACCGTATTTAAGAGTATCCTTTTTTCAAATGACCGTATTTAAGAGTATCCTTTTTTCAAATGACCGTATTTAAGAGTATCCTTTTTTCAAATGACCGTATTTAAGAGTAACCTGATACTGATTTAGGAGTATCCCTTACCTGATTAAGGAGTATCTCTTAACCTGATTTAGATCCGTTTATATATAATCACTGGTCGTACTAGGAATGCCAATATTCTTAATTTACGCGCAAATCGTTTTCGTACATGGCTATTTAGGAATTCATATCTTAATAGCGCAGCGCGGTTAT